GTGACATGCCACATGTCAGGGCGTCAGCAGACACACATCCTGTCCCAGGCTCCCCATTCCCTGGAGACTGGCTTGGGTATGGCCACACCCACCCTTTGCTTTTCCAGTTCTTAGGGTTCCCATCTTGAATACAAAGGCAATATTGACAGCCCAGAGGTCCATCCTTGCTTTAATATTATTTGATTCTATTCTTTAAAAGAAAAGGAGAAAGGATTAGCTTTTGTATGTGTTACTTAATCCAGGACTAGCCTGAGAAGCAGCAAAGTATTCATAACATAAAGTGCTTTGTTCAACAAAGTAAAACAGCGCGTGGTGGGGGGCGGGGGGAGAACACAGCAAGGATGGGAGAAGACACTTGACTCAGCAGGTATCTGTCCGGTACCTGTCGCTTCATACGGGAAACACTCAAAGTGCCCTCTATGGCAATGGTTGTCTAGATGGAGGGCTGACTCAGACAATCAACAAATACATAAAGAAAAAACTTTTGGTTTGTCCCATAGTGGTAACCACTATGGGGAAAACAGACAAATGTAAATGGAACAGGAAGAGGGCTCCGAAGTTTGAAGTAGGGGTTTCATAAAATGTCAGGTGAGCCCCAGCTCCACAGATCTGATCCCAGCACCGGGGACAGTAATGTAGGGAACCACAAACCCAAGCCCACCTATGGCTAAATAGTTTGTTTCAGCCGGGCGGTGGTGGCGCACGCCTTTAATCCCAGCACTCGGGAGGCAGAGGCAGGCGGATCTCTGTGAGTTCGAGACCAGCCTGGTCTACAAGAGCTAGTTTCAGGACAGGCTCCAAAACCACAGAGAAACCCTGTCTCGAAAAACCAAAAAAAAAAAAAAAAATAGTTTGTTTCAGTCCAGTCATGGATGCATAGTGAAACCTAAATTTAAATTTTTAAAAATGTTTTTAAGATACAACTGAATGTCTGGCAGTGGTAGCGCACAACTTTAATCCCAGCACTCAGGAGGCAGAGGCAGGCGGACCTCTGTGAGTTCTAGGTCAGCCTGGTCCACAAGAGCTGGTTCCAGGATAACCAGGACTGTTACAGAGAGAAACCCTGTCTCAAAAACAAGCAAACAAAAGCTACTACTGAGTAAAGGCCTAAAGGAAGAGAGCAAGCAGATGTGCGGGTGCCTCATGGGTGTCCCTGAAAGGAGAGCAGTCGAGGCAGGTGGGAACAAACCGTGTCCTACTTAGTAGGTTCGTCTCCATTGCTGTCCAAAAAAGGCTGTGGCAGGGCAAGATGGGTCCAGACACCAGTTAGGAAATTATCGAAACAATTTAGGCAGCATGATGATGGGTGAGGGGGACAGTGAGCACTCCTTTTTGTGGGTTTTTATTTTAGTTTGGTTTGGGGGCATTGGTTTTTTGGGGTTTTTTGGTTTTTATTTGTTTGTTGTTTGTTTTTTGAGACAAAGTCTCTCTGTGTAACCCTGGCTGTCCTGGAACTTGATATGTAGGCCAGGATGATCTCGGACTCTCAGTGATCCTCCTACCTCTGCCTCTGCCTCTGCCTCCTGAGTGCTGGGATTAAAGTGTGTTGCACCATGCTAGAAGTGGGCACCTTTGAAGGCAGATGTGAAAAGATTTACAAAAAAAAAGACTGAGTGTGTGCTGGAAGAGGAGAAAAGCAAGGTTTGGGAGCATATATGGGTGCTCACAAAATGCCCAGTAGAACTCTCAAGTTGATAACTACCTGTTTAAATTCACAGTGTGAGTTGGGTTCGAGGCTAGAGCTATAAATTTGGTCATTATCAACACATTTGGTTTAAATGATGATAATTCCGTAGGATGGAGATGTTCCAAGGACTGGGGGTCTAGCAAAATCCACTGCTAAAGATTTGGGGCTGGATTGGACCCAGCTAAGGAGATGAGGACTGACCTCGTCCGTGGTGAAGATGATGGCAGAATATGACACCTGAAAACACCTTTCACACACACAATCAACTAAACTAAAAGCTGTTCAGTAGTAAGAAAAGGGGTGTGTGTGTGTGTGTGTGTGTGTGTGTGTGTGTGTACACACACAGAGACACGTGCTATAATAAAACTTCCAAGAAAAAAATTAACATTGGAACATTTAGGGTTTCTTATTTTCCACAGCCTCCCATGTCCATCATCACAAGCTGTTGTTTCTATTTGCTCTGTAGTCATTTTTTAAATCTCACAAAGATGATATCAAGATTCATGTGATAACAAATGGAAAATAATCTAGTTCTTTGTGATATGAGTCAAAAAAGGACGAGACAGGTTATGAGTTGTTTAGTGAACTAATTGCTAAAAATTATTTCTACGCATGCAAAAAAACCAAACTATATTAGATTATGGATGTGTGTGTGTGTGTGTCAGATTTACTCATGATACAGTATGCAATGACGCTGATTTGTAAACATAGTCATCACGTTGTCTTACCATCTTCTTCCAGAGATGCCAGCTAAGAAACCCAGCTTCTTCGGCTCTTGGGAGAAAGGGTGTTTTATTTAAATCACCTCAGCTGGCAGTCTCTGGACACAGACATCCTGTCTCCACTCTAGCTTTTACAGAACATCAGGCTGCCAGATCAATAAGCCACAAAGAGAGTCAAATAGAATGGGAAATCAAAATAGGCACCAAACTTTATCGTACTAAAAAGAACCGTGAGTTTTAGGATGACTTTCTGCCGAACTATGAGAGGTTTCTCGTGCCTCTTCGTATAGCTGCATTTTATCCCATTCTCAACTGACCTGGCCTTTTCCCAGACAATCTTATGCACATAAATCTTACTCACCCTGAAAATATCCTGTAAAACATTTCTCCAGTCAAGTGGGCTCCACATGTGTCCTGTGGTGTCATCATAACATACAGAAGTTTATAGGTTCTAATCTCTAAGTAAATCTCAGAAAGGATTAGGCATTATTGTTCTCAGGAGCTGGGTTTCACAGATAAATACTGTGTAGACACACTGAGATGGTGAAATAAATATAAATGGCGAAAACCTCATTTTGGTGAAATTGGGGGACTTGTACACTGCCTTGACTCACTGATTAATCTTCAGCAGTCAATCTCAGGTCCTGCAAACCCAAGTGCATCTGTCTCCGATGCTTTGATTTGTTATACAGCCTTCTCCTGCACTATTCAATGAATGCTATAAAAATAAAAGGTTTATTTTTCCATTACAGCAGGAGGGAAAATGTCGAGAATAAGATCACAAAAACACCATGCCATAAAAAAAATAAAAATAAAAAGATCATGCTATGTCCCAAGTCTTTTCTTTGTAATAAGTCTGACAGCAGTTACCGTCGGGTCGTCAGACTAAGTCAAAGAGCGTGGGCTCTCCAAGCCAGACATTTAAAGGCAGTTGCTATCATAAAAAAAATTAAATAGCCAGGCAAGTGGCACACATCTATAATCCCAGCACTAGGGAAGTAGAGGCAAGAGGGTCAGGAGTTCAAGGTCATCCTAGGAAATGTGAATTCTACATCCTGGGCTCCATGAGACACTGTCTCAATTCATACACACACCATAATATTGAAATAAAAACTAAAACAAGCATGATTTCCTTTTTAATTGTTTATTTTTATCTTATGTGCATGTGTATGTTGGGTCCCCTGGAACTGGAGTCACAGATAGCTGTGAGCTGCCATGTGGGTGCTGGGAATTGAACCCAGGTCCTCTGGAAGAGCAGTCAGTGCTCTTAACCACTGAGCCATCTCTCCAGCCCCAATAAGCACGATTTCTTAATATCAGAGAGTTATTTATATTTTATTTCTTATTCATTTACCCTTATGCTCTATCATCAGTATGAACTATTGTTTTCTCTTAGGTTGTTAGTCTGAAGGTTAGGAATGAAGGGTTTGTAACTCGCTTTCATATTCCCTGGAACAGAGCTAAAATGTGAGATACTTAACAATCATTTAGTACTTGCAAAAATGGTATTTGTTGAGCCTGCTGCCTGGTAAAGCCCACTCTAATAATATCTTGAAGACAAAGGAAGGGAGGAACTATGGAATATGTGTGGTGATGATTCACTCAAGAATCACACACTTCATTAATAATCTTTCAAGTTTTGTAAATAAAGAGAAGCCGAAAGCAGTGGCCCATGTCTTTATGCCCAGCACTCAGAAGTCTGAGGCAGGCAGATCTCTATGAGTTCAAGGCCAACCTGGTCTACAAAGTGAGTTCCAGGATAGCTTGGAACTGTCTGGAATATGCATTGTGTGTGTGTGTGTGTGTGTGTGTGTGTGTGTGTGTACATATTGCTATAGAAAGAACTCGAAGGTTTCACTACCCTGCTCTCCTCCTGGTCCTCAGCGTACGGCTCATGGGCACACCCACAGACTGGTATCTCTAAGTATGCCAAGATTTTCTTTTCACTTTTGCCATTATTTGCTTACTTACTGCTTTATTGACAATTTCATACTTATATGCAATGTATTATGATTATATTCAGCCCCATTACCCTCTCTTGTCTCCTCTCTCTGAGCCCCTTCTTCCCGACTAGTCCTGTTTCCCACCCACCCCTCAGTTTAACTAGGTTACTTACGAGCATGGGTGGATGGTTATTTTACTGGAACATGAACAACTTGCCAGTGGCCACACTACTGAAGAAAAAGACACTGCCTCCCATTAATGGCAATGACAGTTTCTCAGGAAGGGGGTGGGTACCAGCCGCACCATGATGGACTGCCAAAGGGCCCAGTCCTGCGAAGACCTCATGCAGGAGGAGTCCCATAGCTGCTACGTGCTCATGGTTACCGCATCCACATCATATCCGGATGACTATTTCATGGCACTCCTTAATCTTCATTCTTTAGAGATTTCGGACAGCCCCGCCATGATGGGTAAACTGCTTTTGCTTTGTTTTATTTCACATCAAGGCTCAAAGAAAACACCCGAAAGCCAATGGTGTTCTTCTGCCAAGGGGAGGCACCTTCTAGTCAAAATTAGTTGAAACTATACTAACTTGATTTACCACTCTCCCTTCCCCCTCCCCCTCCTCTTCCTCTCCTCCTATTCAGGTACAGAGCAGTGGCCTCGTGGAGTCGTGTTCAAGGAATTGGGATCCCCTTGATTACCGCCATTGAAATTGTCTCCATCTGGGTCCTGTCCTTTATTCTGGCCATCCCAGAGGCCATCGGCTTCGTCATGGTACCGTTCGAATACCGGGGTGAGCAGTATCGAACCTGCATGCTCAACGCCACGACCAAGTTCATGGAGGTACTGAGCCCAGTTCACCCACCATATCCAGGTCAACATTATAAAGACATGCTAAAGCCCCAAATGAATTAGCTGGGCAGGGAAACTCTGTCCTTCACTGTCCTCAGCTGCCAGGAAGGCAACGCTGGCCTTGTGTAGCCTCTTAAATAGAGCAGCTGTGTCCTTTCCCACTCTCCCCTCATAGCGCAACTACAGACATTCCGTCCTACAGACACGGACATGTCACTGAGCACGTGCGGGTTGCTCAGTTATAGTTCTCAACACAAGTCTTATTTACCCTAAACGTACGTCACAAAACTCTTCTCCAGCAAAGCGAGCTGCACGCGTGCCCTATGGGGAATCACTGTAGCACACACAAACTATAGATCCTGACCTCTACACACACTCGGCAAGGAATTGGACACCCAGAGTCCCGAGGTCAGGCTCGCTCGCTGTAAACAGGCTGCCTTGCTGTCTGGGCTCATACTGACACGAACTCTAGGCCTGGCCCCCAGGAACACATCAGCATTGTTCTGAAAAGCTTAAGCACCTGCCTGAGCACACTGGGAAACACAGTTCAGAATGCATATTCCCTTTGCAAAACTGGTTCCAGGTGGACAGAGGACAGAACCACCAAGTTATCCATGCCCCCAGAGGCGGGAGAGTTAAGTGTTTTGATGCCAGCATCACCTGCTCAGGTCCACATCACAGACAGCTCAAGCTAGGTTTTCCTAAGAGGGAAATTCACCAAGTTCATGATTTTGCAGTTTATCGGTTATCCTGCTTGGACATTTTCTTTTTTTTTGGTTTTTCAAGACAGGGTTTCTCTGTGGTTTTGGAGCCTGTCCTGGAACTAGCTCTTGTAGACCAGGCTGGTCTCGAACTCACAGAGATCCGCCTGCCTCTGCCTCCTGAGTGCTGGGATTAAAGGCGTGCGCCACCACCGCCCAGCCTGCTTGGACATTTTTATTTTAAAATTAAAAAAACTCATGAAAACTGGCAACCTCAAAAATCCAAGTCTTTTTCTTATTGCCTTCTTAGCTAGGCCAGTTTACACAATGAAAAACAAGACAGTGGGTGGAGCAGCCCACAGTTAGGGTTTGGAAACGGGAGGAGCACATAAGCATTAGACTGTCCAAAGAAAGGCAGCAGAGGAGGAGGGTCCTGCGAGAAGGCCCTTTCCAAGCCCTCAAAATAGAGCAGATGAAGCAGGCAGCATCCTAAAGGGTTTGAAACGAGGGAGGCCGAGTGCCGGCAGGGAGGGCCGTGGGTTGCAATAAGTCAGACTGGTGAGGTCTCGAAGTTCGTCCCAAGCCTGGAATAAACACACTTATTTTTCTAACATGACCTCCCATCTACTTTCAGCTCCCCTCTTCACCTTTGCTCCACTCTAGAAGGTCCAAAGCCCTCTCCAGTCCCTAGCTAATGACATCAGGTTCAAAACAAAACTGTGCTCCCCTTTCTCAGTAGGCCTCTGAGATGGGGGCGTGGGGGCTACTGCAGCCAGCTCTGTCCTGGGTCACCTTCCAGCCCCCAGGCAGCTGCTTCTAGGCCACACCCACTTGCCCTCGGTAATGGTTAGGTAATGGTTACGTGGGAAGAGGATACAAGAGTGGGGTGGGTGGAGGAGGGAGTGGAGGGGGTGGGGCAGCCTTAGAGGATGTTTGTGCTTGCAAACAAGGACAGAGTTGGATTTTTTTGTTTTTTTAAAGTCCAGACAGAGATCCTTCTGCAGTAGGTGCACTAAGGGAGATCTGTTTAACAATCTGAAAAAACAAACTTCTTTGGGAGTCTGTACTTCATCTGGGATTGAATTTCGGGAGTCTAGGAGCTTGGATGGGAAAAAGAATGTGTTTGTTTTCACTGAGTTCCTCTGACTTTAAAGGTAGACAATAGCCTGTCAGTGGTGGCACACATCCTTATTCCCAGCACTCGGGAGGCAGAGGCAGGTGGATGTCTGTGAATTGGAGCCAGCCAGAATAAGTTCCAGGACAGCCAGAGCTACACAGAGAAAAGCTATCTCAAAAAACCAAAACCAAAACAAAACAGAAGTGTAGTTAGCAAAGCGCTGTGACTTCTTAGCGAGAAGCAAGTGGGCGCAGTCCTGAAGTGTTAGCGCTCACTGCTGGCATTAATGCTTGATGCCTGGCAGCTTTTTAAGCCATTATATTATTTAGCAGGACCCATATTTTATGCAATTTTCTGCTGAATACATATCTTTATCAGAATTTTATTTTCAGTATTTTGGTAACTCCATTTCAATGTAATTGGTTTCCCTTGTGACCAGTTAACTTTGTGCCCTTTTTTTCCACTGTGACATTTAACTTTGTGCTTTTTAAAATACAATGCTGATGTCTAGGAATTTTACCAGTTGATAAAATGATAAAGTTCAATCCCCAGAATCCATGTAAAGAGCTGGGCATGGTGGCACAGGCTTGTAACCCAGTGCTGGAAAGGCAAAGGATTGCAGGTCCACAGGCTTTGGCCAGGAAGCCTAGCCAAAGTGGCCAGCCGTAGGTCCCAGTGGGAGACCCTGTCTCAACAAACAAGGCAGATGATTTCTGAAGAATGGTATCTAAGGTTGTTCTGCCCTACACACACACACACACGCACACACACACACACACACACACACACACACACACAGAGTATTGTTCTCAGAAGGAACCCTCATGTTCACCAGATTTTTAAGGGGGTCTATGGCATTTGACAGTTAAGAAGCCTTGTCTTAACTTTTGTCTTCTGGAGCTATTTTTAGATTATTTAAACAGTCATAAAAGGTTCCTTTCCACGTCCAGAAGCTGTCAGGATTTAGGAAACAGGGTGACCATATTGAGCTATTACTAGAGGCTACATTACCGTCAGTCTGGAGAAAAAGCATGAGAAGTTAAAAAGCATGCCTTCCCAAGTTAGAGGTTAATTCAGGAAAGCATTTGAGTATCATTATCCAACTTTCAGTTGTATTCTCCTTTAAAAAGACAGAAAACCAGGGGCTGGAGAGATGGCTCAGCGGTTCAGAGTACTGACTGCTTTCTCAGAGCACCTGGCACCCTCACACATAGATGTAGACAGAGAATAAAGATAAATCAAGTTTTAAAAAAGACAGAAAACTGAACAGTTTGGATTTGTAAAACTCCTTGCCGAGAGAGACACATTGCAGCCTTTAGCTGCCGTGTTCCAGGTCAGTAGTTTCCAGGTGGCAAGTATTAGGAGAGAGAGTGGAGTTATTGATGGCTGCGCTGCTTGACTCTGGGGTCACATAGCAGTCATACCAGGCAAAGGGTTAAGTCCACTCACCGCAGCCACAGATAAGCCATTTGCCGTTAGCTTTCACTGTTCCTACATGAGTATGCCTTAACTACACTGATCTTATCAAAACGTTGAGGCTCATCAATACTCAAAGATGAAGTGTCTCGGATCCCATTTTATGAACTTCAAGAGGAGACTTTGTACTGATAGAGCTCCTCCACTGTGTAATAGAAATTGGAATGAGGGTCTCAGAAGTCTCCTTGTGGGGATGAGGAGATAATTTTGAAACTCATGTTTTTCATGTGCTGCAGTTTAGAGTACAGAACTTGCCTAAATCCACTGCTAAAAAATAAAAGTAAATATTGAGCATAATGCAAGTTCTTTCCTGCTGTCAAAGAGGGGCATGTGACTGCATCTGTAAGCACAAAGGGTGGCGTGGGCAGCGTGCTGCACAGTCTGCTTACATCCCGTGCCCCTCTTCCCTTTTCCTCTCTGGACAGTTTTACCAAGACGTGAAGGACTGGTGGCTCTTCGGCTTCTACTTCTGCATGCCGCTGGTGTGCACGGCCATCTTCTACACCCTCATGACCTGTGAGATGCTCAACAGGAGGAATGGCAGCTTGCGGATTGCCCTCAGTGAACACCTCAAGCAGGTAAGTCTCCACAGTTGCCGGGAACTCGGCCGAGGCCATTTGGGATGAACAAGCCCGTGAATGCAGGCACTTGCTTACAGAAGCATCACAGTCGGCTGCAACTGCACAAATGACCCTGGCTTCAGTAAGATTAAAACGGATTGAAAACCGTCATCATTTCTTACAGTGTCTTCTCCATGCTAAGATACATTGAATAAGCAAACATCAGTGTGTTACAATTACCTAAGCTAGCCAGTACAGTAATGTGTTGTACAGATGTGTAGTCTAGGAGTGACAAGCTGGACCACACAGCCTACTGTGAGGTAGATAATACCATCCAGGAGTGTGTTAGTACATGCTGTGGTATTTGCACAGTGTTGAAACTGCCTCGCTACACATTTTTCAGAACATGTCTGTCTTTAAGCAGCACATGACCATGTGTTATGTAACAGATTTATGCTGATTTTCTAAAAATAAAGATGTTCTCCCATAGCTGTTTTCTTTATATAGCCTTAGGAATTCCTGTTGGGAAGTGGGAATCCTGCCTGTATACCAGATGGCCCTGGGAGGCTGGGCTTAAAGATAGTTAGCTCGAAAAGTGTATTGAGCATGTGTGTATGGGTGCATTGAAATGGGCTTGTGGCTGTGCCAGGACGGAAAGATGCCTGTGCTCATCTTCCCCTGTGCATTTTGTAGTCTAGTTGTGAATAAAATACAAATGCAGACAATTAGAAAACAGAACAATGCAGGGCAGTCCAAGCAGCCATAGAATACGAAGCCGGGGCCTGTATGAAATGAAACTGGAGAAACTGCCTGTGGATGAGGGAGAAAGCAGAGGACAAAAGTTGTCTCAGTTGGAGGATGAAGCCTTGGGAGAACGTGGAATGGGCACCAGGCAATTGGAAACGGGAAAACAGGAATCAGTTTGGTCAGATGAGCACCTCAAATAAGACTCATGATAGGAAAACTGACTGAACACAGAAAAGGAGCTAAAATCGTGGAGGGCCAAAGCCTCAGAAGGAATTTGGACATGCCAATGGGAGCTAATGTGTCCTGTCGGCAGCAGCTAGAACAGTCATATGGACTTCCTAGTCACATGACATTGGGCAGATTACTTCATGTCTCTAAGCTTTTAGGTTCTCATAAGCATGTAGTAATATGTTTACAAATTGCCAAAGGTGTATGAAGTGCCTAACAGTGTCCAGTTCCTAGTACACACTCAGCAAATAATTCACTTATGTTGATTCATAAAGTGGAAGTGCAAGTAAGTGCTTGGCAGCAGTGGGAGAGTACATACGAACATATAATAACATGGGAGAGTACATACGAACATATAATAACATGGAAGAGTACATACGAACATATAATAACATGGAGAGTACACACAAACATATAATAACATGGGAGAGTACATACGAACATATAATAACATGGGAGAGTACATACGAACATATAGTAACATGGGAGAGTACATACGAACATATAATAACATGGAGAGTACACACGAACATATAATAACATGGAGAGTACACACGAACATATAATAACATGGGAGAGTACATACAAACATATAGCATGGGAGAGTACATATGAACATATAATAACATGGGAGAATACATACGAACATAATAACATGGGAGCGTACATATAACATATAATAACACAGGGAGAGTGCACACGAACATATAATAACATGGGAGAGTACATACGGACATGTAATAACATGGGAGAGTACGCACGAACATATAATAACATGGGAGAGTACACACGAACATATAATAACATGGGAGAGTACATATAACATATAATAACACGGGGAGAGTACATACAAATATATAATAACATGGGGACAGTACATACAAACATAACATGGGGAGAGTACATACGAACACTCAGTTACAGGGGAGAGTACATACGAACACTCAGTCACATATGGAGAGTACATACGAACATTCCATGACAACAAAGGCAGTGAAGCTGTTGCTGGAGCCCCTAAAGCTAGCCATATAATTATCACACACAAGCACACATCAGCGCCCTTTCAGTCCCTCTGCTGATTTCCTGAGCTTCAGCCCTTGCCTGCAAACCGGCCATAATAATACATGAATGTGCTTTTATGAGACTCTCAGGAAGGAATGTGCACATGTGTGCTCTGTGAAGTCTACTGTGTCCCACAAATGGTAGCTATTACCTTTGACTGACAGGAGTGTTTATGTTGAGAAACTGTAGCCCAACTTTGTTCAGGCCAGTTGTGGTGGTGCAGTCTTCAATCCCAGCAGTAGGGTGGCTGAGGCAGGTGGATCTTTACGAGTTTGAACCCAGCCTGTTGTACAGAGTGAGCCCCAGGCCAGTCAAGGATAGTAAATAAACATTGTCTCAAAAATAAACAAGCAAAAAAATAAATAAATAAAACTAACTAACCCAGCTTTCCAGAGCCCCCAGCCTGCAACGTGGAATGCTCTCTGTCCCTCCTCCACACAACACTCCGGAGCCACACCACGACTGGTGTCATGACTGTGGGGGATTAAAGGCTTCAGTCCTCTGGGCCACAGCAGCAGTTTGGTATGAGAGTCTCTGCGAAGGGCTCAACTGCATATGTTTATTTTAGGCTTCCTGAACTTAATGTTAGAAGCCTCCAGTTGAGCCAGCATTATTTTCCCCGCAGTCTGTTTCCAGTCAGCTTTGTTTGGTGTTGATTGACCCCAGTTTGCATTTTATGTCCCTAGTTCTGCTTCTGACTGTGTGTTTGGGGGGGGAGGGGTGATATACCTCAGCGGTGTGAGGCAATTCCCAACCTATGGCTGCTAAGACCAGGAGCAGGAGCGGTGAAGCTTCAGTTGGAGTCAGTACCTCATCAGCACCCAACGCTTCCCGCCATCGCTGCTCATAGCCCCACCCTTGCCCTTCTGTTTGCAAAAAGCAGGTCTCAGGAAACTATATGGCATTAAAAAGAAATTTTAAAATTAAAAGCAAATTTCAACCCAGGCATAGTGGCACATGCCTATAATGAGGCAAAGAGATCTCTTGGGCCCAGGAATTCACAACCAGCATGGACAACAAAGCAAGACCCTGTCTCAAACAAAATAAGTAAACAGTAAATAAAAGCAAAACAGTTGTAACAGTAGTTTCAAAATCAAAAACAAATGGAAATGGGCTGCTTTCTCTATACACTTGTTCGTTTGGGCGCTGTGTCCAGTCACCTTGGCTGTCATGCCAACTGCCGGGCACTCAGCTTTCAACTAACTTTAAGGAGTGGCCTCTAGCCCTCCACACTCCTCGAAAACACACATGCCCTCAACAAACACACATGCTCCCATGCTTAAACTCACAAACACACATGCTGCATGCTTAAACTCACAAACACACATGCTGCATGCTTAAACTCACAAACACACATGTCCTCATGCTTAAACTCACAAACACACATGTCCTCATGCTTAAACTCACAAACACACATGCTGCGTGCTTAAACTCACAAACACACATGTCCTCATGCTTAAACTCACAAACACACATGTCCTCATGCTTAAACTCACAAACACACATGCTGCGTGCTTAAACTCACAAACACACATGCTGCATGCTTAAACTCACAAACACACATGCTCCCATGCTTAAACTCACAAACACACATGTCCTCATGCTTAAACTCACAAACACACATGCTGCGTGCTTAAACTCACAAACACACATGCTGCATGCTTAAACTCACAAACACACATGTCCTCATGCTTAGATTAAACCACAGTGTAGACTCTGGCCACTTCCTGATGTTCTGGCATAGACCTCTACTGTTGTCCTCAGGACAACATGAGCCCGGCAACTGGGCAAAGGCGTGGTTAATGATGCTTCCATGAGACAGTTGCACTCTGGGTATTAAAATGCAGACGGATGTGGGGGCCACTCTCTCCTCCCTCTGGTGTGTCACTATTCTGCCCCGTGGCAGCACTCACCTCTCTCCTTGTCTGCATGAACTCTCCCCTAGCGTCGAGAAGTGGCGAAGACCGTGTTCTGTTTGGTTGTCATCTTTGCGCTCTGCTGGTTCCCTCTTCACTTAAGCCGCATTTTGAAGAAGACTGTGTATGACGAGATGGAAAAGAACCGATGTGACCTGCTCAGGTACCATTCCGGGTGCCCACTGAAAAAACTAGTCTCCCAACTTTCCACATTTGTAGAATGTTTGCATTCTTACTAGCTCTGAAACTTAAAATTGTAACCTTAGTTATATGTTTTTAGCTGGCACAGCCCATAACTGATCCCAAAATGTGAGTCCTGTCTGTTCCCTTCCTAAAGCCGGGCACAGGGATTGCCTCTAACCACAGCATTGGGCCTGCCGCCCTTCTTACAAATGTCCACCTGCCACTGTGAGACGTGGCTTTGGGGCACAAGAAATGCTCATCTGAGGGACAAATGCGGCTTACAGGTTTTCAAGTGGCGTGTTCTGATGACACTGTTTTCTTTTGTTCTAGCTTCTTGTTGCTCATGGATTACATCGGTATCAACTTGGCAACCATGAATTCTTGCATAAACCCAATAGCTCTGTATTTTGTGAGCAAGAAATTCAAAAATTGTTTCCAGGTAAGACTGTTTTGCAAGCTCTCTAAGGGCTACCGGCTCAGTGTGTCCCATACCCAATGGGCATAGCCCACTCCATTTCTTCCTGCTTTGACCAGGCATGTTTCTCTTCATTCAAGAAATGAAAATCGCTTCTTGCTGCCTAGAAAGACAGACTTGAACGGAGCGGAAGATCGGTATATATTCAGATGACATATTCACAGGTTAAAGCTAAAAGGACTGTCTTTACCGCATGCCAGTTTAGTGCCTCCCTTCAAGAGGAATGCTCAAATGTAAGCACCATACACTGGAAATACAGAAAGCTGATCCACACCTTTCATTGTCTTAGGCGTGAACTATTCTTAGGCAAACATGAGCTCTGTGGCTGAAGAAGCTCTCGCTAAACGCAATTAATGGTGCATTTGATAGCATTCTTTTCCCAGTTGGAGAGGTAATCCAGCAGGTAAGGGCATTCACTGCTCTTGTAGAGGCCTCAGGCTCCCCTCCTGGTACTCACATGGTAGCTTAGAGCCATCTGGAACTACAGTTCCAGGGCATTCCATGCCCTCTTCTGGCCTCCTGGGACACCAATCACACACGTGGTGTGCATGCAAGCAAGCTCTCATACACATAAAATAAAAATAAATCTTAAAAATAAATATAGTAATAATAAGTAATAGTATCTCCAAGAAAATGGGATACATACTACTCTGGACATCTATCTGTACTGCTGTGACTTCACTCAAAGTCTATGTTCTTGTTTCAAATCTTCTTCCAGACAAGCCAACATCCTTAGGAGCCCCAAGCCTGTCATTGATGTGCCTTTTTCCCATTCTGGACTGACTGTAGCATAGCCCTAATGTTTACTGGGTTGTGTTATCTTGAACCAAGATGTTTGACTTTAGGTCACAATACATATTATGCAGAACATAGTAGAGGTAAGGGGAACAGGCCCTGGAAGCAGCCAATCTTTCCCAACAGCACCACTCAGCATTTACTAATGGTCTCATCCATGTGTGATTGGTACCCCTCCAGCTCACTCAGTAACCTCACCTGAAAAATAGATGGGCTAAATAACCATCCAGTAAGTACGACTCAGTGGGAATGACTGATGGATGAATGGATAGGTAGGTAGGTAGACAGACAGACAGACAGAAAGACAGATAGATAGATATAGATATGTCTTAGGTTTCTATTGCTGTGAAGAGAGACTATGACCACGGCAACTCTTATAAGGGAAATATTTAATTGTGGTTGTTCACTTACAATTCAGAGGTTCAGTCCATTATGGTGGGGCATATGGTGACATGGAAGCAGGGATAGTACTGGAGAAATAGCCGAGTGTCCTACATCTTGCTGGCAACAGGAAGTCAACTGACTCATTGGTTGGTATCCTCAGTACCTCAAAGCCCACCCTCACAGTGACACACAAGGCCGTACCCACTCCAACAAAGCCACACCTAATAGTGCCACTCCCTATGACATTATAGAATTATGGGAGCCAATTACATGCAAACTACCACAAGATGATAGATAGAGAGATAGACAGACAGACAGATAGTAGACAGATGAATGGATGGATGGACGGACAGACAAACAGATACATATACACACACAATAAGTACCCAGTATGAGTAGCTGGCTATTGCTTAACATAGAGAAGGAAAACAGTAACTGCTCTCACAGAACCCATGATCTAAACAAAGACAGACATATCACTCAGAGGTTGGTACAAGCAGGTGAGAGTTGGTGACGGAGCTTCACTGCCATGACTTTGAGGTCTCCTAAAGGCTACAAACCACAAAGTGCTGGGACTAACATAGTTTGGCTCACATATGGGTCCCAACTTGTGTATTTATATATTAATTATAGGACAAGAAAATTTTCCTGTTAAAAATCCTCAGAAACTAAAACACATTCCCAAAGGAAAGAGTCCAGTCTGGAGAGCCCTGCCTTTCAATTTCCATTCTGCTCTTCTCCTTGGACCCCACTCTCATCCTTTATAAAGAGGTGTCAACAGCCCTACAGCGGGGCTGTAAGGAAGGTTAGCGGAGGTACTGATAGATGCCAGCACCTCATAAGGAATACACTCTGATGAAAGCAGGTACCAGGCCCTTTTCCAGCTGATCTCCTCATGCCTTGGAAGAGCCTCCTCTCTGCTGTCCCTCTTCCTAGCTGTGAAGAACACAATTAAAAAGAAGCAACTTCTGCTCCTAATTTCTACCTTGACAAGCTCCAACTGTCCTCAGTTGTCCATGGGCATTGAGCCCTCACTGGTGATCCCCAAGCCTTCATGTGTGGCTAGGAATGGGCGGGCTGACTCAGTCACTCACACACCCTCTCTCTTTCCCACCCCAGTCTTGCCTCTGCTGCTGCTGTCACCAGTCCAAAAGCCTCATGACCTCGGTCCCCATGAACGGAACAAGCATCCAGTGGAAGAATCACGACCAGAACAACCACAACACAGAAAGGAGCAGCCACAAGGACAGCCTGAACTAGATGAACTAGTCCTCTGCAGATTCGCCAATCACTGTGTCTTCAAGTCCTGGCGGGGAAAACAGACACACAGCAGTGGGCCTCCCTAAAGCTCCCAAATTCTCTCCCTTGGTCCTTCTCTAATCCAACCCAAGAAAAGAAAAGCACTCCTGCCCTCCCAACAGCATGTGGTGGAACAGCTTCCAACCACAGTCAATGGGTCTACCTAAAAATTTGCATATTTTGCATGTCATATCCAACACTTGAAAATTATGAGAGCTGAGGGAGATCGTTCAAGGAACCCATACAATATCTGCAATCTTTGCAAGAACACAGAGTTTGAAAGTTCAACCAGCATTCAGGCACTTCTATGGGGCAGTGAGTAAGAATGTTCAGCAGAGTACCCTAGAGCAGTGGTTCTCAACCTTCCTAACACTGCAACCCTATAAGACAGCTCCTCAGATTGTGGTGACCTCCAACCATAAATCATTTTTCTTTGTATTTCATAACTGTAATTTTCTACTGTTATGAATCATAACGTAAATATCTGATATTTCTGATGATCTTGGGTGACCCCTCTGAAAGAGCCATTCAACCCCAAAGGGATCTGACCCACAGGTTGAGAACCACTGATCTAGCGGTTCTACTGGGTTTAGTGGCACATGCCTATAATCATGGAACTGAAGAAGCGAGGCAAAAGCAATCAGGAGTTTGAGGTTAGTCTCATCCTCGTGGTTCATAAAAGGCTGGGCCATATAATATTCTGTGTCAGAAATACAGATTTTAAAAAAGTTTAGAGATGATGACAAGATTCTTTTCGTTAGCCAGAAGCACTGTGAGGCTAAAGTACTTTGGAGATGTCATTTGGTGTTAGTGTTTTATATCTGCTTGGACCCTGGAAATGATTGTCCCTCTTATTTGCATATACTCAGAAGAGGATGCAGATGAGAGGATGGCATCGATGAGCAATGGGGCATGTTTCTGTGTCATTGTTTATTTGCAAACGTGACTTCTAAAGCTGCCACAAATACAGCCAGAGCCTGGCACTGCCGGAGCAGTGTAGGAACTGCTCAACAAAGAATTTTTAAGGCCCTCTATTTTCTTTTTTCTTCCTTTTTTTTTTTTTTTTTGGTTTTTTTTCGAGACAGGGTTTCTCTGTAGCTTTGGTGCCCGTCCTAGAACTAGCTCTTGTAGACCAGGCTGGCCTCAAACTCCCAGAGATCTTCCTGCCTCTGCCTCCCGAGTGCTGGGATTAAAGGTGTATACTGCCACCGCCCGGCTCTTTTCTTCCTTTTTTTTTAATGATGTATTTATTAGATCATATTTGGATTTTGTTTTATTTAAATTTTGAGACAGGATTTCACTATGTACATCAAGCTAGCCCCTGAGCTCACAGATATCCACCTGTTGCTGCCTCCCAAGTGCTGGAATTAATGGTGTGTGCCATTACATCTGGCGTGAGCATATTTTTATGTCAAATTAAAAATAATAACACTTGGGAGCTGGACAAGATGGCAAGTGCGACATACTTAAGGCTCAACACTTGGGGAGGCTGAGGCGGGATGACTGAGTGTCATCACAGTGGGAGGGATTCCACCTTAAGATAATAGCTATTAATAATAATACTGACATCCTCCAGTTCTAGTTCTCATAACCCATCTTTGGCAATGTGAAGGCATGTCCTGAAGCTAAAGTGAGTCGCTGGAGTGTGCCTGAGACACCCAGTGCCATGCCGGAAGCACACCTAGGAGGAAAATGCCGAGTGGTTTTTGAGGACCTGAAAATCTTCTCCAAGTTCTGCGGTAGTAGCACGTATATGATGTGTGGTCCCTTTCATGAAAATCTTCTCCAAGTTCTGCGGTAGTAGCACGTATATGATGTGTGGTCCCTTTCGTGCACTCAGTGTCTTCCACAGCGATGACTGGCTACAGGCTTTCCTGCTCATTCCTTTTTCTAGGCAGGGAACAATGTCATAGTGGCCAAAAAAGCTGATTGTGTTGAGTGAAATGTATTATACCTGCGTGAGCCTTTAACTCTTCACTCCTCTCTGATATAAACTTCAATCTCTACCCTGTCCCCAGATTCCCAGTGGTCACCATTTCAAAGGGCCCTCAGTAATTCTACTGGGCATTTTCCCAGATGTTTACAGACTGTGAGAATGACAAATATCTTTTATTCTGTATGTATATAAATATATAAATAATTGTAAATTGCTTGTAGCCAAATTTTCTGTGATAGTCTCTATGGAATGTGTGAGAGTATAAATGTGTATGCATGTGTGTGTGTGTGTGTGTGTGTGTGTGTGTGTGTGTGTGTTTAAGTACGTATGGATTTAATATAATCTTAGGATGCCTTGTGTTTTTACCAAAGCACTTGACTGGGAATGGATTCTAGCTGGTTGTTCATTATATAACCCATAAGAACCTCAAGTGTTCCATACTTGTGACTCGGTTACCATTACAGATTGTGGACAGCATCATCCAAGGGAATGAGCCATAGGCTAGCAGTTGGGGATTTTGTTAGGTTGGATGACTTGAAAAAGCAGCATTCGGAGCCATAGAGTTGTCCATGCTGGAGCAAGGTGTTTTGTAGTTGGAAGTATCATACTTCTCTCTTTATTTCCTTGAGTGTCTTTTTATTTGGTGTGTGTGTGTGTGTGTGTGTGTGTGTTACTTTTTGTACTGGGGATTAAGCCCATGACCATATGCTAGGCAAGTGTTCTACCATAGAGCGACATCTTCAGCCCAGAATTACTTTTGGTCTAATCCTCAACTGTGGTACAACTGAAAAGCTGCCTGGAGTTTCTGCCATATGCTTGGCTTATAGATAGATTGTTGGTGGAAAACTAGCTATGTTGACTTGTGTCCTATTTTATTACAGTCACCACATCAGGTTGTTTGGACTGCAGGGCTGAGACATACTGTCCCTCTGTGTGGTAGTAGTCAAGTCCCATTGCACCACTGGAGTGTCACACACCTGTACGTACCTATAATTAGATATAGATGCACACAGTTTTGTTTATTAGACCGTTGTCTTCTTAAAGATGCTTTTTTTACATATAAACTACATGTTTTAAATCCAGAACCTCTTAGATCTGAATACACAGACTTCGGTGTGCATTTTGTTCTTGGACTGATAACTGTGGCTCACTCATACAAACAGTTCTAATTTCCACCTTTACCATATTTCCAGCAAATTACTTTGTCGAAATGAGGGAGAAGCTAAGGGCCTGGGTTGGTAGTGTCCTTAAACAGAAAATAAAGGTTTACAAAAATATTGCAAGTGTCCTTCTCTCTCTTCTTTTTTTATCTCTTTCCCCCTGAGACGGGGTTTCTCTGCAGCCCTGATAGTCTTAGCGCTCATTCTGTAGACCTGGAACTCAGAGAACCGCCGTCAGCGCTGGTGTGTCTTCTCACTTACACAGATCTTCCTAGGAGTGCCTGTTGTAGAGAGTCTTGAGATTTCACCTTAGTAGCAGTCAGGCAAGCAATCTCACTTTTGAACAGATCCTCTGTCTAGTCTCCATCACCCTGCCCTATTGTGCCGCACAGTTAACTCTCCCATCCGTCCCTTATCTTTCTAGTCAAATCATACTGCTTGATATTGGTTATACAGCAGTGAACAAAACAGACAAAGTCCCAGATCTGATGGAGCTTGCGATCCAGAGGAATTAAGAGCCAATAAACAATATGCTGTTTGACTACACAAAGGAAAACACACACCCATGGCCTGTTTGTTTGACATAGCCAATTAGATGGCTAATAGACCATAATATATACAGAATGAACCTGATATCTCCCAAACTGTGCTAGCAAAATATTCTGTTCAGTTAAATACAGTCCCATCTTTGGGCGATTTAAGACAAACATTTGAAGCCACTTCTCATTGTTTTCTCTTACACCTTACACCAACATCTCAGTGAGTCCAGAAGCCCCCTTGGTAGATTGTGCCTAGGACTGTGCCACCTTTCTGCCCACCTCTGTCTCCTACTGTGATGGACACTCCACCTGGGGCCGGTGTAACTGTAGCAGGTTCTCATCCTGTCTGCTTCTTCCCTGCTTTGCACACACCCACACTCGTGGGAGGTCACACTCCATCCACACTGAGACTGGGTAAAGCCAGGCTGGCCAGCGTATTTGTGGGGGCTTGGGGTCTAAGAAAGCACTAGGTAAGAGAGATCCGTGTCCCTCTGTGCTAGGGCAGAAAGCTCGTGAGCCTGGAACTAGCACCCGTGATTTGGGCATGATGAAAAGAATCAATCTATCCAAGACACAAATATGGCAACGAGTATTGAGGTTGCCATTTTGGAGTTTTCTTAATGCTTCCCATGGCTTGTGGGGACAAATCAGCTCCTTTACCTTTTGTCCTGTTCTGGTTAGAATCCGTTTTCCATTGCTTAGAAGGACACATTATAAGACTAGCTCGCCTAAATTATCTTGATTCATCTTTTTGCATTTGGAATTGGTTTGTTTGTTTTAGAGCAGGTTAAAGTGTGCAAGAAAAGTAAACCAGAATTGAGTTGTTTCTACACGCTCCCTTTCCACCCCCCTCCACTCTCAGTGTCTCCCATTACCCTTTGGCTCAGGGCAGCACATTTGGTGCAGGGACTGGACCAAGGCTAACATGGCTTCATTACTAAAGTTTAAACTTTACATCGGGACTCACCCCCTGTGCTCTACATCCTGTGGGTTTTAGCAGGTGTATAATGCCACATAACCTCCAATATCGTCATTCAGGAGAGGTCCCAGCTCAAAAGCTCTATCACCTCTCTTCTCTTCCCTCCTCTCTCAGCCCACCTCTGTCCCTCAGACCCCTTGGCTTATCTTTTCACACAATACAAATACAGATGTTCTGGCTAGTTTTAAGTCAGCTTCCACAAGCTAGAGTCCTTTGAGAGGAGGGAACTAGAGTTGAGAAAAATGTTTCTGTAAGATCAGGCTGTAGACAACAAAATAGACGGGAGAGGGTCCAAACTGTTGTAAGTGGGACCATCCGTGGGCTGGTGGTCCTGGGTTCTATAAGAAAGCAGGCTGAACAATCTATGAAGAGAAGTAAGCACCCCTCCACGGCCTCTGCATCAGCTCCTGCCTCCAGGTTCCTGCCCTGTTTGAGTTCCTGTCCTGACTTCCTTCAGTGATGATTTGATTGTGACACAGAAGTGGAAGCCAAATAAACCCTTTCCTCCCCAAGTTGCTTTGGACAACGGTGTTTCATTGCAGCAATAGTAACTCCAAGACAGTGAACGCCCCCCTGTTACGTGGTATTAACTGCCAGAAGCACGCCATGAGATGTAGAGATAAATAAATGCAATGGAATATTTGGTGAGGACTCAGCAGACAAAGTAACTCAGGGCTCAGGAGTCAGCATGAGCGCAGACGTTGTGAGCCCTTTTCAAGTCTGTGGAAATAAGACAGGAGTCTAGCATCATAACAAGAAACAGCAGCGTTACCTCTGCATTGTGTTAAGTCAGTAAGTATTACTTCCCATTCAAAAAGGTACACCTACCCAGGGACTGGAGGTCTTGCTCAGGGTTAGTGTACCTACCTACCGTGAGGTAGGACTGAGTTTCCATCCCCAGCACTGCAACTATAAATAATAACCAAACGAATACTTAAATCCATCCAACGAATCTTAAAGGACTAACATAATGAACTAAGTGGACATGGGTCCAAATAGCCAAGCTAAGCGTGCATATAGACTAGCCTGCACCCTGCATTCTTCTTCCCAGTGCTGCTAGCCCCTGGCACAGTATGGAGGTGGCACTCTATGCCTGAACTGAGGGAACACTCTGTGAAGCTCATGGAACTTCCAATCTAGTGATTCTGAGTTGGTCAGAACTAGTGCTGTGCCATCTCCACTGATTTTACCTGACACTTGAAACAAGCAAAGTTACATCAGAACACACATCTACCACACGCGCACTGATTGGTTCTGAAGTGGTAGTGAGGTCTTCCTATTTTAATATTCCCCAGTGGTTTTTAAATAGCTCTCCATGCGCTAGTGTTTCTGTCATTCTTTTTCTCTGAGTAGTAACAAAGATGACCCAGGGTCTATATTTGGTCAGCATTGTGCTCTGTACCTTTTTATTTTTATAATAAAACCAAGAAAAGCCTCAGCTCTGAAAATAAGAAAATAATAAAGGATGCAGAATGCTTGCCTGTGTAAGGCTGGT